TTCTTGTAGTTGAGCCTTCAACTCTTTCATTTCAGCAGGAGCCATGCGATAGGGAGTTGCAGATATCGGTCCTGTTCCAGGAACAAGATCGATGGAAAATTCTACTTCTCTGGAAGATGGTATACCAGGAAGTTCGTCAGGAAATACGTCAGGAAAACCACATACTGTCGGTATGTCTTTCAACTCAGGAGTTTCTTTTCGTGTGTCACGTACGTTACACAGATAAGCTTCACATTTCTTTCGAATGAGACGCCTAGCGTGTATGTACGAGATGAATTCAGTGGATCTAGGTGTTAGATTCTCTTTCACCTCTATAGACTTTCCCTCTCCAGACTTTAGTTGAATCGTTCGTCGTCGGCAATCGATAATTGCTTGGTGTTCGGTGAGCCAATCCATTCCGAGGATGATGTCAAATTCTTTGTACGGTAATTCGACAAGATTGGCAGAGAACTGATGTCCTTCAACAATCAATGGACAGTCTTGATACACATGATTTAACCTTATACTATGTCCTAACGGGTTAGACACTAGTATAGGTTGTTCTAAGTTTTCTTTCATTATGTACGCCTTGTCAGGCATAGGCACGCAGATATAAGATAACGTTGATCCAGGGTCTATCAACACATGCATGACAGAATCAAATAAGGAAAACATACCCTCAATGACGTCAGGGTTTTCCTCAGCTCGTGCCTTCATTGCATAAGTACGAGCAGGAGCTCGTCCCTGTTGCTGACTCTGGTTCTTGGCCGGATTAGATCCCACCGTTGATCGTTGACTTGGCGCAGGTCGTGCTAATGCTGATTGGCTGACAACTGGGGCTGTCGGAAATGGTTTGCCAGGATTAGTGGGGCAATCCTTTCGAAAATGTCCAGCTTTGCCACAACCTAGACATAATCCTTGGGCAAGCCAACACTCGCCTGGATGATGTCTCCCACATGTATCGCACAATGGGTGTTTCCACCCTCTTGATTTGTTTTCCGACGCCACAGAGTGCGTCTGCACCGATTTCCCCTTCTTTGAGAAGTGTGAATTGCTAGATTCCTGGAAGGGCCTTTTTCCTTTTGAGACAGAGCATGGGACGGTGAGTGTTTGAACTGACATTATTTGTCTTCAGATACTCAATGCAAGCACTCAAGTCGCTGTCTGCCCTGGCTATGAGATCGTAGGCCTCTGCGAAATCCACGGTGGTTAGGACGGACACACGCGACCTGAGGTCAGGTCGAAGTTTCTTCCTGAACTCCTCGATGCGATCGGTTGGGGTACTCACCAAGGTTGGTGCAAACTTAGCAGGACTGGTAAACTTCTGACGATACTCGGGGAGTTTCATGCCTCCCTGTTGCAATTCGACAAATTCTTTACGTCTTTCTTCGCTAAAACGTTTTGGAATATATTCTTGCTTGAATGCCCATTCGAAATGTGCCCATGTCCATGGCTTAGGGGTTCCTACACTCTCATCGGTCCTCTTCCACCACTCGTAGGCTTCCTTGCGAAGCAGCTGAGATGCCAGTCGGGGATAATTGCCAATGGGTACGTTAAGATCCTCCAACACTCGAGCAGTCTACTCGATCCAGTCCCATGCAATTTGGGGTTCACCGATGCGATCCCCAAGGAATAATTCCGCACCGTTATCCCTTAATGTTTTGTAGGTTATCACTCGCGGTGGCAGTGGTGGAGGTGGTTGAAACATTGGTGCGTTGGCTATCTGTTAGAATACATTTGCCAGGAATGTGGGAATCACAAGGTCGGGTTGACCATCAGCGTTCGGGTTATTCCCAACATTTTGTTGATTGACGGGTTCATTTTGGACGGGAGGGGTAAAGCTAGATGCTTCAGTATGAACACTGACGTGTTCATTATTGTTGCCTTGTCCGTGGGCAGATTCTTGACTCATTCTACAATAACAGAAATTTCTTTATTAGGATTCTTTTATTCAGTAGTTGAGTTTAAGATAGGAATTGCAAGGGGTTACAACAGTTGATACAATCAATGGATTTGAAACCAACAATAAAATAATTTTCTAAGCGTTTGCGTTCGATTGGTTGGATCGTGGCGAATCTACAGACGGTTCTTCCTTGCCCGACCCACATACACTACTGGCAGAGTCTATGCTGAACGTCTCTTCTGGGTCATCTCGTTCCCATGCAGCCTTGCGGCGTAGATAAATCCTTCGTTTCATTATTCTTGCGAATCGATGTGCACGTTGGTAACGTATCAACGAGTCATAGACATTTCGTTTGTTCTTTCTTCTTTTACCAAGTACGAAAGTGTGACTTGAATCAACACTTGATATCATTTCCGAATTAACAGTTGACATCTATAAAATTTGATATAGTCAATTTCAATACTCATTTTTTTTATTACCTTCCTGGAGCAGAGGGATGCGAGAGTCGTGGATGTGATTGACAATATTTTTTTTACCCAAAATATATAATATATATTTTTAAATCAAACATTGATCCAAAGATCGTGTTTAAAACCATTTGCTCCGATACCAAATTGTAACACCCTAATCCGTCCAGGTCTGCAGCCCCTTTCGGACTAAAGTATTGATTTGGTAATCGTGATAATTTAAAACATTTCAAACATTTTTATTTATAAATAATATTCCATACATAATTGTAGAAAATACGGAGTGTTTAATAATAATGCGGAAGTGACTTTTAAACATGTCTCATAACAACATAATTATTTATTTTGTTCAATGATCCACCACGACTGTCTCGCCCCTGCTGCTGCCAGGAATCAGCCAATCATTCATTCTACCTACCTGCGTGTAGCAAATAAAACACACTACATGCTCAGCGGTGAAGCTGAGTAAGTATATCTAATGCGTCGAACATCCAAATAAATTGAATCTCAATTCATAATCAACCATTTGATATCATGCACACAATATATGATTCAAACATTCACGATATTCTCAATATTTTATTTCAAGTCATTTGATATTCAATATCTCAACCATGCTCTTAAATTATTCTTAATCTAAGGCCAAATCATTTTATAACAAGCTCTTAGCTATTCCTAGTCTAAG